TTAAACGGTTTGTCTCTCGGACTTTTTTTTCCCTTTTTAAGGGATCGGGTGTTTTTTTGCCAGGGACGGGTGTTTTTTTCGCCCGGTTTTTTTTTCACTTTTTTTTTTGGATCGGACTTTTTTTTCGTCCGGTTTTTTTGATCGGACAAACTTGGTTTTTTCTGCCCGGATTTTTTTCACCCGGTTTTTTTATGGACGATGGAAGCACCTCTTATTTTTTAAGTAGTAGTAGATATATATATATATATAGCAAGCTAGCTCTGGGGAAGATATACATTAGTTAAGCACACATGCAGTGAGCTAGCTAACTGCTACTACTAGCATATATATCTACAATTAATACAGAGTGATTTAATTTACAATGCGTGACTCATGCATATGTAGTTATGTACGTAGTATCTAGCTACCCTCTCTCTCCCTCTTAACATGCGTCAATTCGTACTAGTGTAGTACAGTGACCCGATCCCTAGCTCGATCTCTCGCCGTGAGAGAGAGAGAGAGAGAAAGATCAGAGAGATGATCCATGGCAAGATCGAGGTCCCCGTGAGGCCGTGATTATGCATGCCGGTCGCTGCGGTAGGGGCTCGATTTACATATCGATCGACGGGGCGTGGTGTGTGGGGGAGGAGCTAGCAGCCACGGCCAGCTAGGGCATGCATTTAGTTATGGCCGAGATCGATCAAAACTCACTACTCAGTAGGGGACCTCATCACACATCTTATATCGCCCAAGGTGACACATGACACACTAGGAAATGTCAATGCAAGATGATGGGGGAGAGAGGTGTGTAGTCGTATAGTAGTACTAGCACATATCACATGTTTGATGGTGGCACTGGCATGCATGCACACAATGCAAGCTGTGTTATTTACTGGTTATTGGATAGTGCTGGTGGTAGTAGCATATATATAACGACGCACTAATGTTGCTTCTGCTGCTGCTATTGCAAACAGTCGAGGGTTCCAGCTGACACTGTTGAAGTAGTCAGCTGATGTGTTTACAATGGAGGTACCCCAAACTTTTGAAGTAGCCCGATTTACGCTCTCGAACTAAGAACTGAACATTCATTAGGCATCCTAACTTATGCCCCCCTAATCTATTTAAAGTATTGATCCTATGTGGCATATACGTGACAGTGATGTTCTCATATGGTTATCTAATTAACGATATTAGTATATCATTTTATTAAAATAAATTGACCCACTTGTCAATCACTCATTCTCTTACATCCCTTTTTACCACGATTGAAACGGAGGCCTAGGTGCCAAGTTAGAGCCAACGCCTCGAGCTCCGCCCACGCGATCAGGGAGGTAGAGGTCACTGAAGGTGGCGGCTAGCAACTGACGCTAGAGGTAGAGCTCCAACTCGATCTCGCTCAAGAGGAGGATCTTGCCAAGATCAAGGAGGGAGGCACAAGTTGGTGGAGGCGGTGGCTAGTGACCGCCTTTATGGATATATCTTGTCGAGCTCAGGGAGGGATGTAGAGGTTGAGAGATACTCTTGCTGGCGGCCGATGGTGGAGCAGAATTCAAACTTAATTAATCTCGCTCCAGGAGGCGAATCTTGCCTAGCTCGGGGCCGGCGGCTTAGGTTGTTCGAGGCTTTGGCCAATGGTTCATGGTGGAGGCAGACCTCAAATTAACTTGATCTTGATCGAAAAGGCGGCCAGGCGCGATGGCACAACCAACAACGATGGAAGTATGCAAATTTGGAGCAAATCTCGGTATGGTTTGAAATCAAGCTTAAACTCACTCGAGGTGATAGATATCGCCAAAGGTTGCAGACTCGATGCACAAAGTGGGTTGAGGCACTAGCTGACGAAGCCATTGAGGAGGTTGAGCTCGGTGTTCGGCGAGCTACAGATGGCGGTGGTAAGTTCTCCCACTAAGGTTGAGCTTGGGATTGATTGGGCTATTAGTGAGGGCTGGCGATTGGATTCGAGAGATGGAGAGGAAGAGGTGGAGAACATGGGGACATATGGGCTCCGCTAAATTTGTTTTTATTATTTTGGTTGACTGGATTACCACGTCAATCAAATTAGTACCACTAACCAAAACAACTCCAGACTGATCAAGGCGGTAATTCATTTGGATTAAAGATGTTTGGGATGACTTGGACTTTTTTCCTTTTCGTAATTCTGTAGTGGTTTTAGCTATCCGATTATTTTTAAAAAAAGAAATACACTACATGAGGTGTCTTTTTTCTGATGCTAAATTTAATACTAGAAAATATAATACCTCGAAAAATCAATCTCTTCAGCTAATTTGCTTCAGTTAGTATATGTGTCCCTTTTACAGAAAAAAAAAAGTCAGGGTGGAGTATATGAGGGTCAGCAAACACGTACTACAGAACATGAAGCTAAGAGTACGTAGGCTAGCTAGATTGAAAAGCTTTACGTATCGTACCCCAGCTATCTTCTTAGCATCTCAATTCGATTTCAAAGGCAAAAAAGTTTCAGATCAGATCGATCGACTAGCTATATATGCACCCTTCAATGACGCTACTGGATTCTGAAGAGCTAGCTTAATTAGCTCTACTAGTACTACTGACCACTGAGCATGCAGCCAGTCAACCCAATAATCAACGCCAAATTCAGTCTATCACACACCCGTTGTCGTCCAGCCGCAGCCTACCACTGTACGTTGGGGCGGCTGGCGAGCGAAAATGGCAATTTTGCACGTACGCGATGTGGCACCGCTCCCGCGGCCTCGTCACGCGCGCGCGCGCCGCTAAATTTTGGTTGCCCTTGGGCGTCGGCACACGGCGCGCGGCCACCCACGCACTCCCCCAAGTTTCCCAACCCATCGCGCCGCGGCGGCCGCGCGGCGGCTAACCACCAGTCCAGCACGCGCACGGCGCACCCACCGCAACCAACCGATCCCCCCATACCGTACGTATTTCCCGCACGATACGGCGGTGCGCGGTGTGCTCCCGCGCGCCCGCACGTCACGGTCTCTCCCGTGCCCACGCGAGACGCCACGCGCGCCCCCGTCCCCCACACCGCCCTGTCTCCGCCCCCGTACTAAGTACTAGAGATCTCGGGGAAGCCTGACACGGGGTCTGATAATGTTGAGCCGCAATTAAAAACAGTCTTTAGTATTGGTTAGTACTCTATTACTTTTTAAATATTTGACGCCCTTAACTTTTTTTAAATATATTTGACTGTTCATCTTATTAAAAAATTTTAAATAATTATTAATTCTTTTTCTATCGTTTGATTCATTGTTAAATATACTTAGAGTAAAGTGTACGGGCAGTCCTTAAACTTGAAGCGATGTATCATCTAGGTCCTTAAACTTTCGAAATACATATCCAAGTCTCAGAACTTGTCATAGTGTGTCATCTAGGTCCCAAATCACCACAACCCCTCTTGGATCTCTTATGTAGGATCTAAGAGGGGATGTGTCGATTTGGGATCTAGATGATACACTTTGACAAGTTCTAAGATCTGAATATGCATTTTGAGAGTTTAGGGACCTAGATGACACACCACTACAAGTTTAAGGATCGCCCGTGCACTTTACTCATGTATACATATTGTTTTACATATTTCACAAAAGTTTCTGAATAAGACAAACAGTTAAACATATGCTAAAAAAATTAACAGTGTAGTATTACTTACTGATACTAAAGATTGTATAGTATAGTTGATGTATCAATAGATACTAATAGATCTAAAATTTATGTCTTCTATATACCACGACGAACGATCAATTCTCGAGTAGGGGACACCAAACGGAGGAGGATCACATCGACACGAGACAACGGGAGGCCGACATGCAGCTGAGATTGCAGCCCGGCTACAGTAGCAGCAGAGAGAGGCCACCCGCCCCGGCGCCTGCATCTTCCCTCCGCCCGCCACGCCACGTACGTACAACGATCGGCCTCTCTCTCCTCTCGCAGGCTATATAGCTCCTCAATCATCATCATCACTCGCCGCAGCGACGGTTTCCTTCCCCGGCCTCCAAAGCTGCCGCCGCCAGCAGCAGTCGCAGCGATCGATCGTCTGCCGATCGGAGGGCATGCAGTGCAGCGCAGCAGCCAGGTCGTCGCAGCACTGCAGCATGCAGCAGTGTGGTCTCTACTGTAGCAGTAGGCATTTTTTTTTTGCCCCGTGCTTACGTACCACGTTCTCTTCTGCACGCACGCCACCCTTTTCCATCCATCGGTGTGTTTTTGTAGCCGGCCGGGGTCAACGTGAAAGCTAGAAGAGGATACTGCAGTGCATGCATCGATCGCAGCCATATGTGCCATGCCATGCCTGCCCTGCCCTGCTTTACTTTGCCACGTCCTTTTCCACGACTTTTGATCAGATTTCGCACAAGCATCGTCCTTCCATCGATCGATCGGTTGTATTGGGATGTGCACCCCATGGAGGAGTAGTGGTACTGTGCCTGTATCTGCTCGCACAGTTGCGATATCGATATGGCCAGAGCGTAGTAGTAGAAGGTTGTTGTTGTTGTTGTTGGTCCAGTCTGTGTCTCCCACATCCAGATCAGCCGACATTTCTGCACTACTTGTCATCCTGGACGCACAGTGGATGGCAATAATAAGTAATCGATCTTCAGCTGACCGGCACAGCTGCTCAATCCCAGATCGATCGCTATCTGAATTTCAACTAAGGAAAAAAGTGATATATCTGTGGGGATTTTAATTGATTTCTCCCGTAATATAATTGCTCACTGCAATCAAACTCAATAGAAATCTTAAATCCAGGGAAATGAGACGAGAGAATAATAAAAATTCCAGATTGGTTGAACCTGAAACTTGGCCGTGTTGAATTTTACAAGAACAGTGTCCTGTATGCATATATCATATAACTGAATTGGACATTGTAAGGTTGGTGATTACTCCATTGATGTTATGATTTATATTATATAGCAATGGACCAATTCTGTCCCAGAATGAGCATGCTGATGCTAGTCATGGTTGTCAGGTCCCCATGCAAGTTCTGATGCAAACACATAGTGATAAATACGTATACTGAGGCTGGGAGGATATGGATAACACAATTCATGAAAACTCCAAAATATGCACAATTATTATAGATACATCGTACGGTATGAGATGTTTATATGCTGACCAGTTGTGTATCATGATATACTGGTCACAGATAGAGGAAAAGGACCGATGGATCTTTCAGGTTTCGTTATTACGATAGCATATGTACAATAAGCATGTTAGAACATGAGCAAACATAGTTGCTTGATCTCCTTGATAGCTTTCAGTTCGGTAGCCTATTTGCCTGGATGGAAGAAGTTCTCCTTCAGCATATGCTCCCACTTCGGCGGAAATATATCATACCTGTGAACTGAAGAGGAGATTAGGGGCGTCTCTTGAGACCCTGCTGTACAAATATGAGAGTCCATTGTACTTAGCGGCCAACCAATGTTCATGGGAAAACTACCTTCGCTTTGGACTGCAGTTTTGTCATTGACTTCATCAGAAGGTGCCTTGCGACCATTATCTTCATCACTACAGGTTGCATCACCAGGAGAGTCTAGACCACTGACAGAATCTTTTCCTTCCGAGTGCCTCACAAAATTATTAGAATGCAGAATATTTTGGAACCCGTCAGCAGTGCTCACAGTGTCGCCATTTGGAGCTTGTATTTTGGCCACAACACCATCTTCATCCCAATTTGGTTGATCAGTACATGCTTCTACATGCTGCTTGATGGCATCGTCCAATGAATTTATATTATCGTCACGGCACTTCAAAATTCTCAGTCTAGACATAACAGCATTATCAATTAAATCATTTGTGCCTGTGCTTGCATCTGGCTCATGCTTGCTGCTTTCCTGACCCAATGAGTTTGCATTATCAGGACGGGACTTCAAAATTCTCAGCCTAGACATAACAGCATTGTCAATAAAATTATTTGTGCCTGTAGCTGCATCTGGCTCATGCTTGCTGCTTTCCTGACCCAGTGGGTTTACATTATCAGGACGGGACTTCAAAATTCTCAGCCTAGACATAACAGCATCATCAATATTATCTGCTCTGTTTGTGCTTGTATCTAGCTGGTGGTGGTTGTTGTTTTCCTGTTTTAGAGAGGCTATATTATCAGGACACGAATTCAAAACCCTTAGCCTGGCCATAACAGCATCTTCAATTGCACATGGTTTTTTGCTTGCTTCTTCCTGCTCTTCACAGTTGTTTTGGCAAAAAGCACGACAATCCTTCAAATTGGACTGTAAAAATTTCAATCGCTCAATCACCTCAGCATCAACACCATCAATGATGCTCCTATTTACTGCAGGAAGTTGCCCGTCACAACTATCTGCTCCCTGACATTGCAAGTTCGCAGGATAGGCAGTGCTGTTTTGTGGTTTACTATTGGGTATGGTTGAGATAAAGATTTTATTGCCTTTTGATAAGTCAACAGGAACTGCATTGATAAAAAGATTTGCATCTATTAGTAGGGCACACTAAGAGGTTAGTATCCATATCCAAATATGTAAATTCATAATGTCTGAGCACCTTGTGTGTTATTGTGATTTTCCATTGCTGCAAGCTTCACACGGGTAAGTTGAAGCTCATATTTGAGCTTACATGCTGATGCTTCTGCTTCAACCCACAAATTTTTGTAGATCGACAATTGCGAGACATCAATATCATCAAGCGTCTTATCCTCTGGGAGCTTAGCAACAGCCTGAAGGGAAGATAAGGATAAGGTACACAATAGAGGATAAAAAGATGTAATCAATTCAAATTAAACGGCAGCATGATGCTCCTAATCATGATTGAAGCTACCTGTGAAATAGAGGTCTTCAATTCTGAATCGTTCTCTACTAATGAGTGTTCAGGCATTGCCATCCATAAGTTATTCCTTGAACAACTCATATTTTGAACCTTGTATGAGACAAAAAAAAAAGAAATGAGTAAAAGCTAATGAAACAAGCTTCGCCTTTCCTACATTTAGTCTATGAAAAGCAGCTTTGCATTTGTATGCAACTTCAAGGGGCTAGAAACTAGAACGTATCAAAGGAAGCATTCGAACTACATATGCCCATTTTTTTATACTGTAATAAGTTCATACACATGATGGTTATAGGGGTATAGTACATGATATGTAAATATGTGATATAATTGTGCAAAAACATTTCCAGAGCATACCTTGCTTATACAGGAACTAGCATCTCTAAGATTTTGAATCACTAATTGCAGAAGTTCCTCTTCATATCCCTGTAATGGAACGCTATTGCAAGTGGACAGAAGCATTGCCGATAAATCATGCATTTGTTTCAGAAGTTCTGCCCGAGACTTCGATCTTGATTCAGAAGACGTCTTCAACATGCTCCCCCCAGAATCTGAATAATAGCGAGGCTGCTGACCTCCTTTTGCACATATTTGAGCCTGTGTGCATTCCTCTGCCCCAGCTGCTTGAGAACAAACATTAACATGTAGGCTTTCACTCAGATTCTCAACAAGAGCCCTAGGAGCACTGCCAAGAGGACTAGGCCCTTTGTTAATTGATTCTTCAGTTATGCTCCCAATATGGTTGGAACTATCCTCACCTAAGAGTTTGGCTTTGCTGACTGAAAGGTTTTCCTGTTGATTCGCAGCTATCATGTTCTTACAATCTCCTGTAGAATCATAGCATTTCTGTCTTCTGGAATTTTGTTCTTCAGGAAAATAACTTGCATTGTTACCAATACCATTATGAACCCCAATACAGACCGGAAGTACTTCTTTATTATCTTCAGTGTTTTTACGTGTCTCGGGCAACTTGAATGTCTTCAAAGCATCACTTTTGACACTTTCAGAAGCTGATACTTCCTGATGTTTGGAGAATAGCTCTGAATACTTTAAACTCCATTCGGGTGATTGCTCGATTTGATAACCACCTACCCCATTTACAGAGTGGGAATTGTCGGTATTTTTCATAATACCAAATGAAGGAGGATATGCAATAGGTGCACCCTTCCAACAAGGTGAATCAACAGTGGGGTTATTAACCTCAGGCAACTCGGATGAAAATTCACGAGACTGAACATATCCAACCTCAGATGGAGAAACTTTGGAATTAAAGCTACCCCGGTCATATTTCATCTCTGAAGATTCCTGTATAGGTCTCCCATTTCCAAAACACCTTGCAGCACGGTGATCTGCTCCAAGAGAATTGAGCAAATGGTCTCCCGCATTGCTAGCAGAGCTGCTCCATTTTCCATGGTGTTTATCAGTAGTCTGATGCCCAAGATCTTTTTGTTCATTCCACATGCAATCAAAATAATCAAGGTTGATTCTACAAGGATTCATATATGAAGAAAAGGATGAAGAACTTTCCCCAGTATTTTTATTCATCACTGGAAACATTTGTTCGACCACTTCAGAAGAATTGGCAGGTGGCGTCCACATGACAGGAGGTGGCACATTTGTTGAACATGATGAAAGCTGTGTCATGTATTTGTCATATGCAGGATACTGAGGAGGATACTGTAATAAACCTCGCTGTGTAGGATAAGGTTCTGCATCTTCTGATTTATGCACAAAGGTATTCTGCTGCGGACTAAAAACTGATGGCCCAACACCACTGGGCAGAACCTCTGAACTTCCTAGCCAAGTTCCAGGACCTTTTGCACTTGTTAGTTGTGAGCTCTCTGATCTCAATGGACGTGTAACCATAAAGTTACCAATTTGACAAGTCCCAGGGAATATACCATATGGTGCAGTTTCAGGAGCTTCACCTATATAATATGTTTGAAGTCACCAAAAAATTATTAGGCATGGCATGCTTTGGTTAAGCCAGGCAGCAATATCCCAATCAAATTATACACTCACCAAAAGCTCCTATTAACAAAGATAGAGCTTATGTACACATAAGCTCATTGTGTGTGTTTTTTACGCAAAAGGCAGAGGAGAGTCTGCCTTATGTCCATTGCATTACTGGAGAGTCAAAGAGTTATATTACCAAGAGGCAAAAAAAAAAAGAAACACTAAAAAGAAAAGGACAGAAAGTATAAACAAAGAAGAAATCTAGAGAAGAAGAGGAGAAAACAGATGCCAGAAACAGCTTAATTCATTATATCCAGCCATTGCTCGGATGTGTTCTCAGCTTGACACGAAATTCCATTTTGAGACAGCAATCATCTAGCTAGTAGTTACGCACAACAGATATTTGCAAGCATGCCTCTTATAATTTGTGCATATGTGGCTAGTCTAGATAGGCCTCTCATGCACATAAATGAAAAAACAGATTCTAGTCGAGGAGCTAGATGCCTTCAATTATTTATCCCAAAATATAAAATAGAAATTAATTCACTTTGATCACTTATATGACAAACCCTGGAACACAAAATCTCCATAAGGAGCTAAATAGGATGAACCACACATGCACACAGGTATTCAATAGTGTAAAAAGTTTAATTCGCTCTGATCACTTGATATGACAAACCCTGGAACACAAAATCTCCATAATAAGCTAAATAGGATGAACCACACATGCATACAAGTATCCAAAAGCGTAAAAAGTTTGGCTTATGCAAGTAACACCAGCATCATGAGCGGATCAAACGAATCCTATACAGACCACGAACCACGAGACAGTAACATCTGACCCTATCAACGCATTCTCGCAACGATCGACCACATATCCACTAGGAATCGACCTCTAAATTAGGCAAACGCGAGTACCTTTATACGCCGGCGGCGGGGGGGTGGCAGCGGCGGGGGAGGGGGCCATGTAGCTGGCGGGGGGTTCCATCCACGACGAGCTCCCCCAGTCTCCGGCGGCGGCGGTGGTGTAGAGGGAAGGCGCGGTGGGGAGATCGAGCCCGGGGGGGTTGGGGTTGCGGACCCTGGGATCCGCCGCGGGGCGGGGGCAGTCCACGGTGAAGGGAGCGGCCGAGGGGGAGAGCGAGGAGTGCGCCGCTGCCGCGGGGTACGGCGGGGGCGAGCCCCGGTGGCGATCGCCGTGGTAGGGCAGCATCTCGCCGGCGGCGACCGGTGGTTGGGTGGAGTGTGGCGTCTGCTCAGGCGTGCGCGACGTGTGCGTTTCTGGTGGTTTGGGTAGGCACGAGCACGAGGAAAGCGTGTTGGGCCGTATGTGGAAAGCTCATAATAAGGTGGGCCCAATGGCCCATATAGTGGTAGCAATCTAATTAGATCCACGTAAAGCATGGAAATATGATTGGCCCATTTCCGATCTCTGAAGCAGAGCGATGGTACACATGCATGAGCTGATTGATCAGTGAAATTGCTTCGTCAGTAAGTCTGGATTCAGAGCAAACTTTTTCTGTGCTATGTACTATTCCTACTCATCAGCAAAAAAAATATATTCCTCCATATTCTCGCACATGACACTGTCACCTCAAGCACTGACACATCGATCGACACAGCCGACCATGCAGGAGGTAGTCACTTCTAAATGTCCAGGATATATGTGTATATACAGTTTCACATTTCTTCCCAAATATATTGATGCCAAGATCCAGATCCTATAACTATACTAGCGTGATCTACCTCAAGGTTAATTAGCTCTGCTTCACCCAAGCACAAATGGCGGACATTGTCTCCGACGTGTTCCTGTCCTTCTTCTGCTGCTGCTACTACCCTCCCGGCGGCCACCGCGGCGTCGGCGCGCACAACGACACCGCCTTGCGCCGCCGCCGTGGCGGCGCCGGCCGAAGCAGCAGCAGGCCGCCCGTGTCGCTCCAGACGGTGGAGCTCAAGGTGCGGATGTGCTGCGAAGGCTGCGAGCGCGTCGTCCGGAGCGCCCTCGCCAACCTCCGAGGTGAGCTATAGCGTGCAACCGCGTCATCGTTTTGGACAATGACACGGTCTTATCGTTTTCAACAACGACATGGTCTCGAGCTTTTTGGTGGTGGTACGTGTTGTTTTTTTTAAGGGGTGGATAGCGTGGAGGTGGACGTGGCGATGGAGAAGGTGAGGGTGACGGGGTACGTGGACCGAGGGAGGGTGCTGCGCGAGGTGCGGCGGAGCGGGAAGAAGGCGGAGTTTTGGCCCAGCGGCGGCACGCCGCGGCGGTTCACGTCGGAGAAGGAGTACTTCCGCGACGGCGAGGCGTACAGGGGCAGCTACAACTACCACCGCCGTGGCTACGGCGACGGCGACCGCCACGGCTGGATGCGAGAGCCCGCCCGCGGCGCCGACGCCGTCAGCAACATGTTCAACGACGACGACGTCTCCGCCGCCTGCGCCATCATGTAGTATGATAGTAGTGTCCTTGCCCCAAGCAGTATCGGAGTGGCTGATCTAGCAATTAGTAGAGCTTGTCTAGCATGATCTAATCAAATATTTATCTGTCATAAAAAAAAGAGAGGATCGTAGAGGTTACCTACCTTAGCAATATGCCAATCTACTACTCTATGTCTAAAAGAAAAAAAAACGAATCTTAGAATTGGATGTGACATATTTAACAGAGATATATTTAAATTCGTTGTACTAACATGTTTATCACCATGTTGGTTTTTTATAAAAGGATAGAGTAATAATACTTAAAGTTAGCAAACTATTGCTGACATGGAAACTTTTGCTACTACATTATTGTGGTATGCTTTGCTGAGTCATCTCCAAGTGTAATGTAACCAGCATCTTAGGACGATTGGTCGTTGTATTAGTACATGCTGAGACATCCTGAATGATCTGGCAGACTGATTAGGACACGTGAGAACACGGTCAAGCCCGGCGTGCACACTCTGTCCGGTGGGCCCAGCCCAGCCACCGCAAAAAAAAACTGAAAGCGAAAGTGCTAAACTAATCACGCCGAGCTGGACCAACCAGGCGCTTCCACCGAAACGTCCCTGCACCCGGTCCATACACCGACAGCCTCGTCCCATCCCCCCTCGCGCCGTCGCGCGGGTTCCACAGCCGTAGACCGGGTCCACGAACGCCGTACACGTGGCCCTCCCCCTGGATCGGCTCACCCTCCCCGGTCGACGTCACCGCCTTCGCGAGGAGGAACACGAACACGAAAAGGCTCGAACCTCCACGCGAGTTCGCGAAAGAAAGAAACTGAAATCCGAATTCGATTCCAATCCTCTCGACCAGCGAGAGGCCTCGCCTTCCTCCTCTCCCCCACGTTGGCGTAGCTCGCGCGCGCGCGCGCGCCCGCGCCCGAATCCACAAACAGCGTGGTCGCGGGCGGGGGTTCTCGATGAGGCGGATGCTGGAGGTGGCGGCGGACGCCGGCTCGTCTGCGGCGGCGGCGGCGGCAAACGGCGCGGTGGACTGGTGGCGCGACGTGAACGAGTCGCCGGTGTGGCAGGACCGCATCTTCCACGTCCTCGCGGCGCTCTACGGCTTCGTCTCCGCCATCGCGCTGGTAGGCGCCCGCCACCCTCCACCCTTCCATTACGTTACGATCTGTGGAGGCTGGATCTGATTGCTCAGTGGTATCTGTTTTGATTGGGTTTTCTTTTTTTTATCTTCCCTTTCGATTGTGCGCGTCGGCACGATCTGTGGGCGTTCGGTTCTAAACTTTGGGTGTTTCTGAATTTCTGATGGATATCTTGAGGCTGGGTCATGAGCGTTGTAAGAAATCTAAATTTTTTTGGGGCTTGATTTCTCTTGTAGGTCCAATTGATCAGAATCGAATGTAGGGTGCCCGAATACGGGTGGACAACACAAAAGGTGTTCCATTTCCTCAACTTCCTCGTGAACGGCGGTGGGTAACGAGCTGTTTTTTTTTTTTCTTTGCCTATGTTAGATGTTCGGTCTGGTACTCTTGTCGATTGATCTATGACAATGCTTGTTGTTTGTGTTTGCAGTGCGATCCATAGTGTTTGTGCTGCGACGAAATGTGCAGCTCATACATCCAGAGGTTTGTGAATTGTTGCTAATTTGATGATCAGATTGATGCTGCAGTTCATTTAAGTTATGGTGGTATTAAGCAATATTCTACCGCAGATACTTCAACATGTGCTTCTAGATATGCCCGGGCTCGCATTCTTCACGACGTATGCACTTTTGGTGCTCTTCTGGGCCGAGATTTATTATCAGGTGCTAGGCTGGTTTGATCTTTGTAGTTCCCTGTGACATTTCATCAGTGCCTTTAGCACCTCCTAATTTGTGAAATTTTCCACTAGGCGCGTGCAATGTCCACTGATGGGCTTAGGCCAACTTTCTATTGGATCAATGCTGTGATCTATGCAATTCAGGTGTGTACTGTATAAGATCTCATGTTGCACTTGATGGTTTAGAACTTTAGATGAATTAATACGCATGTGAAACGTACTGCTTGAGGTGCTTGGTATTATGTTGTGTGGACCGTTGAATTCAGCTGCCTTAATGTTGCGTAGAATAAAGTTCGGACACTGAAATTCTTTCAGATGGTTATGATGGTGGTGCTTATGACCAATCAGATTGAAGGTAGTTGTAGACATAATTGCTGTACTTTCTTGCCCATTACACCTTTCAGTTTCTCAACTGATGGATACAGTAAGGCACATTTACCTGATATAGAAAATGATTGATAGAAGTACCAGATTCCTTTTAATACCAACCACTAGCAAGTACATGATATAATTGATCTTTGATTTTACGATGAAAAGATATCCCCAATTCCCCATTAAACAACCTTCCTAATGTGTCATACAATGGGCTGGGATGTTGGGATATCTGATTGTATATGTTTATGGGAACTGGAACACATTGAAGATGTTCCTGGTTTAATTATTGGGGAATGCAATCCATCTGTCTTATCTATTTCTGAGCTAACACATGAAAACAAGGAGCATATTGCTTACGCATGAAATGATTTGATTATTCATTACTTTCAGATAATATTATGGATGGTTCTATGGTGGAAACCAGTTCGAGTTATGATCATCTTGTCGAAGATGTTCTTTGCAGGTAGAATTTATGTTTGCTTTTCCTCTCCAGCAATTCATATGTTTTAAGTGAACATAGGAAATTTAGGGCATATGCATCCATCATTTCTACTATGCTGTTTAGTTATGTTAGTTATCAACTAAAGAGTATTATCTGAGTGAAAGCTTATGGAAAGTATTAACAGATCTACTGTAGAGTGTCGACCAGGAGCAATAGGAGTAAGCATAGCGTGCTAAAGTTAATTTTGGAAACCACCTTCATATAAGTCTTTAGTTTCTGGTTAGGGAGATATCTAAGTAGCACATGACAAAGCTTTAATAAATTCAGGCACACTAAATTGTTAAATACTTTCTGATAACTACTTCATCTTTTCAGCTAATAATATGCTATATTTTAATTTTTAGGTGTATCACTGTTTGCGGCTTTTGGGTTTCTTCTCTACGGTGGGAGGTAATACTTCTCTAGCTACAGTACTGCTCTGATAGAGTGATGCTCTCTTGTTGTACTGTTTGGATGGTAAACTAGATCTGGTCACAACAGAAAAAAACATGGGGCCATTTTTGTACCATATGACAAATTAACCATATGATGCAACATGATATGACCACACTATTGCCCTGTCAGATTGTAAGCTGTTCTATGCTTATATTACTTGGATGGTGAACTTCTAGCCTTCTTTTGCATTCAGTAACAATGACCTGCTTTAGCCGCCAGGATGTGTAGCAGCGAGTATATGCTAGTCATTGTGCTGTGCAGCTCTGTTCTACACTAGAATATATACGGTTATGGCCAGTATACTTTCCATGTACCATTCATTTCCATATTCTACTTAACTTGGTCCTATCTATCACTTGGAAAAGCTTGTGCTGAGTATAGGCTGGAGTGACCATTTCTAACAGATGATTTGTCACATGATATTTTGTTTATTGCTGTAGGTTATTCCTGATGTTGCAACGTTTCCCAGTTGAATCGAAAGGACGGCGCAAGAAATTGCAGGAGGTATACTTGCTTTTCATTAGTCTGAAATTTGGAGGCTAGTTTACGACAAATTTTATGTTTAACATATGTTATTCCTTCCTGTAGGTTGGCTATGTGACTACAATCTGCTTTACTTGTTTCTTGATCAGATGTGTCATGGTAAGTGTGTAGAATTTCTTTGGAGTCTTTGAAAGAATTTAGCTTGCTGAAACAGGAGAGAAATACTAAGTTGAGCCTTGTCTTGCAGATGTGTCTCAACACATTTGATAAAGCAGCTGACCTTGATGTTCTGAACCATCCGATTCTGAATTTCTTTTATTACTTGGTATGTCTTGATTCATTTATTTCCTACTTGGTATGCTTTTGTTCGTTTATATTGTCAAAATGTTAAGCATTCAACTTATGCAGTATGACTTACGACAACTTTTAGATTTTGTTATGACTAAGCAAATTATGAAGGTATCGAGATGAGGGCAGAACTTAACAAAGGAGCATGGATAATGTGATGTTGATAATATAGTACAGTTTGCATATGAAGAACAATACCATATCTGACTCAATGCGGCACGAATGCCAGCTTTGTATTAGAGGGATTTTGCGAATATTCTAAAAGAAAAATAAATCATACCACGGGATAGCTCCAGAAGTATCATATATATTTGTTTACTGTTCTTATATACTAACAAAATTCTCTAATTTTTTTGGCAGCTGGTTGAGATCGTACCTTCAGCTTTGGTGCTATTCATCCTAAGGAAACTGCCACCGAAACGGGGGATCACACAATATCATCCAATTCATTAGAGCAGCCCTGGCAGGGACAGAAGAGGTTTTCTTATGAGTAGTCTATACAGCGTGGTAAATACAGAAAAGGCAATGTGAAAGATACCACACTTGCTTTCGAGCTTGCCCCAGCTTTTGTAAGAGGAAGCCTTTAGAATCTCAGGGTACCATCGTGTGTAAAAATGCAATCTGGTGTTGTTACAGATTTAGAAAGTGTTAACTTATATATATATATATACCTTTGTTCTTCTTCACAGTGTTTTCCCTCTGTACACATCACTGCAACTGTGCCTCGCATATTTGTGCATTTTTACCTGGCGAAAAGACTGCATTTTCAGTACTTGTTTCACCCAAGCTCGAGGAGTCAGTTTCTCCTCTGAGGCAGACCTGCAGATTACCACACCTGCAAAACACAACTACCTGATGTATATTTACCATTATATCACAAATAATAGGATGGTGTACCAGATGAAGCACGTATCAAGCATTGACCTTCAGCTCCCTGGCCAGTTTAGCCCTGAAGAAACAAAATAAAAACTTGAACAGTTGAATCAGAAAGCAGAAACAATACTTTGTTCGCCCAAAAAATTCTACGCTTTCTTTTCCTTTTTATTGAGCTACCTTCTAGTCTTTTACATATTGCTTCCCAGGTTGGTTCCTAGGTTCTCCCTACTGTCGAGGAGCCAAAAAGATTTACACACCACGTGCTTGCTTATACACATTTTGGGGATATAAACCAAAAGGGGGAACACTATCCTATACAGAGCAAAAAAAAAAAGGACTGGAAATCTATATGTCTGTATCTGATCTCAAAAGTCTAGCTATCTGCCTCTGCACTTTCAGCTTTATTTTCTGCATTGCCCTGGCCAGGTTCTGCTGCTTCACCCAAGTCCCCTTCCGTCCATCGCTGTTCAGGAACAGGCGCTTCATTTGAAGCAACTCCCGAACCGTCAGGCTGCGCCTGGCAATGAGGTTGTTCTGCACCTTCGAGTGTTACTTCAGTACTGCCCCTGTTTGGTGAACCTGACGTGTTGCTCTGGTGGCATACTGCTTCGCACAAGTCACCTGACATCCCTCTCTGCTCAGGGATAACCGGTTCCTGGGAAGCAGCTCCAGAACTGTCACCCTGTGCCTGACAATAAGGTTGCTCTACACTTTCAGGCCTTACTCTTGTGCTGTCATTTGGTGATTCTGATGCTTCTGCCTTATAGCTGTCTGTTTTCATCTCACACTGCTGCTCGGAAACATCTTCGGGCTTAATTGCAGGCAGTTGGTGAGATGCAGTTCCATAACCTCCATGTTCGTCATGCAAATGAGGTCGATCTGCACTTTCGGATCTTATTTTTGCATTGACCTGCTGGGGTGAATCTGATGCTTCTGCTTCGCACCAGTTTCTTTTCATCCCTTGCTGCATAGTAACTGGCATGTTACAGGTGGCATTCTGCACCTGATGAGGTTCTTCCATCCAATGGTTATTGGTCCGTTCATACCATCCTCCCCTACCTCTACCATGATATGTAGGTCTCCCTCTACCCCGACCACCAAAAGTCCTATATGGTGCTTGTTGTGGATAACTACTGAACTCCCTGTGCTTATTCATACTTTGAAGTTCAGGAGCACCGGCTTCATATGTATTTGGCCTAATTTGAGAAGAATTGCGCCGGCATGGATAACCAGAAGTCCCATCCTGAAATCCTTTATTGCCGTCACCTCCTAAAGGTTGCCGTTCACCAAGGATACTAGTTTGCCTCTGTGATTTCTCCCTCTGAATTGATCCAGAATAAGGAAACCTCCCATTGCCTGTTTGAGGAGTACTGCACATGGTTTCATGATAACTTCTAGTACGTGAGTCCTGACCAGAATGATGATTTGGATGTTCTCTAAACACTTCCAGATAACCATAACTGCCACGGGATGGTCTGTTGCCATTGTGCCAATATTGATTAGGAGGAGCAACTTGTGAATAGTCACCACTATAGGACTTGCGTTGCTGAAAGTGTGTTCTATGCATGTCCTCTTTTGTGTGACACACATTTAGTCGTGAATCGTGGCCATTGCTTCTCCTTGTGTTTCCAGAACCTGGAAAGTGACTCCATCTCATTGGTCGACTGTTGCCAGCAGCAATTATGTCATGCCTCGATGACCCTGATGACCATCGATTTGCATTGTGGGCACTCCTCTGACAAGTAAACAAATAATTGTAAGGATTTCAAAATAAGAGAACTTTTTGCAAGAAATATGTCAGCATGTTAATCTTATTAACAGCTCCAATTGCCAAAGGTGTATAAAGGACATTATTCCTAAATAACATGAACTGCTCATGTGACTGAATAAAGGACTAGAAACAACAAAATAATTAGCTTTTAGGAAATTGGGGTCACAAAGAACAGGTTCTAACAAGATCAGAAAGTATTTGCTACTGGCACCACACCCAGCACACTTCAAGGCCTGCATTGCTTCACCAGGAGCAGCAGGACAGTCTCTCCTCACCCATATGTGTTGGAGGGAACCATCGCAAGCTTTTAGTAACCATATGTCCCTAATAAACATGATAAGTCCTACCTTCCGACAAAAGAAAATGTTCCACTTTATTACCTGTTCTCTTTGGTTCCTCTGCTCTCCCTCCTTGGTTGCATGCATAATTATTTCTGCTAAATTCTTGTCGTCAAGGGCATTAAAGAAACATCCACGTCGTTTTGAGTCATGGACTAATTCTGCCCATATTGAATTGCTTGCCAGCAAAGTGGCTCCATTTCCAAGGATCCAAAGGCAATACCTGAGGCCAAGAAAATAGTAAGCTTTTGAAATTACAAGCAGTGGAAATATTGAATTGAAATTAATCTGTTACTAAATTAAGACAACATACTTTGCTCTTGTCAGAGCCACATTAATTCTCCCAGCATCCGAGAGGAATCCTACTTTGCCATTTTTGTTGGACCTAACGGTTGAAATCAATATTATGTCCTCCTCTCCACCTTGAAATCCATCAATGGATTTTACTGTAACAGACAGAAACTCATGATTCTTGAACTGTTTTCCAAGTCTTTCTTGCAATGCAATTACTTGGGCAGTATATGGAGATATCACACCAAGGCTGGTTCGCTGCCTCTTCTCAGAGCACTCTACAATAGTTTTGGGAACCATACAAACATTTGTTAGCTTTATCCAATCCAGAGGCATGGTTAAATCAAGTTCATAAAAGTATCATTTTCAGAATATTCTTATTATCAAAATAGAAAGAATTTCACCCAAACAAATGCAAAGTATGAAACTAACCAACTAAGCATGTTACTCGTATTTCATGTATGGCTTTAAATTAGTTGCAAAAAAAAAAAATCAAACTTCATATATGCATGTTTCCTTGAACACTTAGCATCATGGAATATCCAACATTTTGATTCTGATGGATAGGACATGGTCACCCGACACCTATTTTCATCATATGTCCAGCACAATACCAAAGGAAAGCAAAAAAAAAATATCGCATTTATTTATTGTGTTATTCTCAACCTATTTCCATTATCAACAGACTGTTCAAAGAAGAAAACACTGGTGCTGATGGAAATGTGTACAGACAGCCTTGAAATTATGTATGTAGGAAACCATCTTAAAAGTTTATATAATAGCTAGTGTCGAAGCTCTAATAAAATATATTGAGCAAGTCAGCAGCTTATCAAACAACAGCAAGCAGGTTATCTATGTGGCAAGCCATATTTAAACTTATTTCTTTCAACAACTATGTGAAAACTGAGGCCTTAGCCCTTAGATGTACCTTTTGCAAGTCTTTCAACAATATTGGTCGCTACAGCAACCTCAACCATATTTTTGGAACTCTGGCCAAGTTCATCAAGCATTTCCATATCGTTTTCAATATGAATGAATGAATAAGCACCATAAATAGGGCCAGGGAGATAACTCTTCATATAGTCTTCCTGTTGGACACTGGGACCATCAGAAATTCGGTTATCATAAAAGTTGGCATTTGGAAATTTGTTGATGCCAGGGTGCATCCTATATTGTACTTCCAGCAAATGCTTTCTATAACCCATTGTACACAATCTCTCATAGAGACTTCGGCCAAAGTCAGCATCTTTAGCAATCTAGAGTAGCAGTAAGGAGACAGTATGAGCAAAGCTATAGAAGTCAGAATAATTATTGGCAACAATATACTCATAATAAAAGAGAACATGTCCATGTATATTATCCCATACCAATGGCATACCTTACTCTTTACCAATGATGATAATTGGTTTTCATCTCCAATCAGCAGAATGTGCTCTATCCCTGGGAGCAAGAGAGGAACCAGTGCTTCGCATTCTTTTAGTTGTGCTGCCTCATCAATAACCAAGATGCTTATAGGCATCACGTTTTGCAACCTGAACAACTCAAATGAACTAGAAGCAGTGCAGAATACCAGTTTCGCTCGTTTCAAGCATAAGTCCCGAATCGAACTCTCATTGTCTTCACAAGGAAGCCGCATTTTTGAAAGATCCATCAGGGTTTTGATACAAAGAGACTTTATCTCCAAAGGGTCATCTAGGGAGATATCATGGTCATGAAGATCAACAGTTGCATCATCTGTCTGGTCATGGCTATCAAAAGAGTCAATAGGTTCATCGGAAGGCTTGAAAATTGTGAAAAGAAGCTCATCAGAGACATCATCTGCACACAGCAGTTGTTGCAATTTATCTAACAAACTTTTGGCAAACATCATCCTGTCCAAATTCCTGCCCAGGGAATCAGTTGGAAGATGATCAAAGAATGTATCAATACACCTTGCTAATTCTTTTACTAATGTGCTGAATTTACTTGTGAAATACTTCTTAAAGGTAAGATTGCATCCATCACTGCTTGCCTGCTGTATATCTAGGGACATTTGGTAACGAGAAATGCAATTCATAAGGAATTTCATGACAGAATCCACACGTGCCTTCCAACCATCTTCTCGTTTGAAATACCTCAGCAGCTTATGGACACGATCATCCAAATATACTTTTGACAACTCCTTTCCGATGTGCAGACGGTCCTTGTTACCAAATAAGACAATGTCACCAAATGAATAACAATGACTTGAAGAGAAGTCCTGAATCAGCTCAATAAGACGAGATGCCACTTGCAAGACAGCCATGTTGGTTGGAGCACATGCAAGAATTCTCTGCTCCTTCATCAAAAGCATGTGTAGCATCACCGAAACTGTTGTAGTTTTACCTGTCCCAGGAGGGCCCCATATTAGCCCCACCGAAGAGTTATGACAGCATTCACTTGCCGAAATACAACTTGCTACTGCATCAAGCTGCGAGTCATTCAGCTTAAAATTGCAGAGATAATCCTTGATTTTGTCGTGTGTTTCACTTCCGCAGTACTTACAATGCCCTGTAGCCTACATTAATTCGAAAACCTCAGTGATCAATAGGAAAATGAAAAAAGACGTGCAACAGTGCATAAAGACATGAACAGAGAAAGTACCAGAGTCTGGAACAGCATGAAGAAGCATACATTTCATTTACATTCATATTTTACATTAAGAATGCGCTAACTGCTCATAATAAAAAAATTCTCTTAAAAATGATAATATCGATATAAGGCTCAATATCAAGTTGGCAACACAGTGATATGGATGAGGTACACACAAGAACATGAATTGTAAACTTTAGGAAGAGACTAATTGGTCAACAGTAAATACAAGAAGTTGAGTTTAATCAAGAATTTAAAAATAGTCTGAATAGGGCATGATCTGAGAAGTAATCTTTAACAAAATTCTAAAATGGCATATGAGTACTATCAGGGTGTATTAATTGCAATGCCAATGAGTATACAAGTTTATGGGGTAAAATATATAGGTTAATTGTTTGAAAGTAAATAAAAACGACATACATATGTTTTAAAAGATATATTACAGTAAAAGCATTAAACTTGACTATCAAAAGCATATCGCCTGCACATTTAATTCTTCACATGGAAATCTTTCAGTTCACTGCAAACTAGTCATGGAAGGAAGCATTGTAACTGAAAAACTTACTTTTTTTTTTTTGCCAAACATACTGAGAACAATTTTTGAATCCATTGTCAAACCCCTTCGGAGCACAACCCAAACACGATCATATGTTATCATATTAGTCAGGTAGGTAGCACAGAAGGACCATCGCTTCGATGAATTTCCACATGTCCCCATCTCATTCTGTTCTTGCAGATCACTACACTTCTCAAAGCACTTTCGAACTTTTGAATGTTCTTTACGCCCATTTTCATGCATAAATGAGTTGCTAGATTCTGGAGCAACTGCTTCTTGGTCCAGCATTTCCCAAGACTTGTCAAAACCTTCCGCATACAACTTGTCATACCTGTTCATGCCCATTTGTTGTCGTTCATCTCCATGAACCCCTGTCTCCATCCTCCGTGATGCCTTGACTGTCATCTTATTACCCTGGACCTTACCAACCCATACAATGACACAGGATTTAGACTGTTTGAGAATATCAGATTGATTTGCCGGTCTCGTTTCTGAAATCAGTAGCAAATCTGCCGCTTTAGGCTTATAACCTTCTATCGCACAACCATGAGACACCCCCCTCCATTTGTCAAGCTTGATCTCATATGATCCTTTCCCCTTCCTCATTGCATTGACAGACAGAACACTTGCATATGGAGCTTTGGAAATGTCCTCCATGCTTGAACACATGTCACCCCTGACTTCCTCCAAAAGTGGACCGAAAAATGATGTCATGTACTGCTCCATGCTGCTGAATGTTTCTGGGATCTTAGCCACCTGCGACGACACATACATTCCATGAATCCACAGCCTCTTTTTATGGCAATAGGCAAAATGAGTTCACAGAGGAGTTAAGCAACATAAGAGCAGTCATGCTAATTCCTTAGTTCCATTCTTAGTGTAGTTAACATTTTGATTTATGGCATTTCAACTGCAATCATTCTACTCTGGCTAAAAAGGGGGTGTAGGTTGTCTCCATAGCACTACACAAGCAGAAGGTAAATCTGAAATCTACTCCAGCCATCTAGGTAAGTACAATTCAGATACTACCAGACAAAGCATAAACAGTGAATCACTTGGCACAGATTCAAAAAAAAAGGGCTAGTGCTTCTAGTGTGCTCTACCAGAAACTGGAAAGCACAAACTCCAAAGCGCACCAGTGGTACGATTTGCAGCGCCACCCATTATTTCACTAATAATAAGCACAATAAACTTCAACAAGCGCATCAGTGGTACGATTGCAGATTTGCAGCCACCCAATACTTCGCTTATTACGCGCAATTACCGGTTCTACACAAAATTAACCACTCATTCGCGATGCGTGAACCCAAAAATGGCCCCATCACAAGAGAGGGAAAAAAAAAACGGCCCCAAGTCCCACCCAATCGATGACGCGAAATTGACACGCATTTCGTCAGATCCACGCCGCTCAATGGCCACTCACGCGAGTGCCACCGGTGCGAATTCGAGAGGAAGAGGAGGAGGAGGAGGAGGCTGCGGATGTCGCGAGCCAGCGGAGGTGGTGGCGTCACCTTGTCGCGGAGCAGGTCCTTGTTGAGGATTTGGTCCACCGACCACGAGAGCACCACCTCGGACAGCCCCTGGCTCCGCCACTGCCACAGCGAGTCCCCCGACGACGACGACGACGACGACCCCTTCCCCGCCCCCGCCTTCATCGCCGCCTGGTGCCACCCGCCGCCGCCGTCATCGTCGTCGCCGTCCCTGCCGCCGTCGAACGCGTGGGAGGAGGAGGGCTCCGCGGGATCCGCCTCGCGCCCCCAGTCTCCGCCGCCGCGGCGCCGCATTTCGCCGGCGACCGGGAGAGGAAGGAATCGCCGCCTCGCGATTGGTGGGTCAGATTTGGGGGCTAAATTGGAGTAGGTTTTAGTGGATTTTTTTTTGTTTGGTGGATTTTTTTATCCTATTGGAGTATAATAAAGTATGGATCGATCTGTCCCCCTGCACGGCTGCATCCAACGGTTGGGCGGCCGTGATTCGGACAGGCTAGCTAGCTCCAGTGACGCGTAGTACCGGCACAAGCTCAGCTCAGCTCAGCTCAGCCGGTTTGGTCGGCTACTCGGCTGAGTTCGTTCCTTGCAGTTGGGAAATAACCTACCGTACAAGAAGCACCTAATTAATCAAGTATTAACTTTCTTTTAACAGTTTAACTATTTAAAAAACGAGAAACGCCCAGAGGTCTTCCAGCTAGCTCAATAAGATGGTGGGCTAGACGACCTGGGTTTGAAGTCTCACCCCTTATAATTTTTTAATATTAGATCCTTCCCTGATATTCGTGTTTTACTATTTGAAAAACATGCATGTAAAAAAAAAGATGAGCTGGGAAACTCAGCTGCCAAACACAGACTTGAATTGAGATCACAAACACATGGCAGTATAAATGCAACTTTTGCATTCATATAGGAGCAAGTGTAATAGGATTATTACATCAGTCGATGATAGCAATTGCCAAGTTAGATTTTTGTCGAGATGGAAGAGAGAGAACTTAAGAAGAGAGATGTGTGGGTGACTAAGAGCAAAAATAATAACGAGCTATAAACTGACTATAAATTTATACGAAATAGTGAAACAACCAAAAATAAAAGGTGTTGGCTCTAATGCAAAATCTAGCTAACACGTGCTTCAGGACAAATACTTTAAATACAGTAGGTGAGAGAGATAGTGAGAAGAAAATATAGAAACAATAATATAGTTAATTTATTATATATATATTGGTTTTAAGATGGACTAATAGCGGGTAGTGAACTCTACTACTCCAACGCATTCAACGCAGCAATGTGGGCCCAACGAATAGGAACAAGGAAGAAAGCATAGGAGAGAGATTAACATGAGTAAAATAAAAATTTTGATCGTGCTATTGCAGTTAGCTATTATAGTAGTACCTTAGAGACGGTAAATTATCTCTATCTGATGCGGATGAAAATTATAGCCTGCTGCTTACTTCATTATTAATCTTGCTCTAACCATCATTAGATTGAATAACAAAGATTCAGATCGCACAAGAGTATTGTTCATCATATTACCGTATGTACATGTTGAATAGGGGTAGCAGCGCCGGGGGGTCTCCAATCTGGCAGTGGATCCCACATGCCAATATCTACCTTCTTCTTCCCTTCTCTTTCTCCACAGTCCACATCTTTCCCCTTCCCCATCCCCACCCACCCGACGGCCCTCTTCCCAACCAGTGCATGAGGAGGCGGCGGCTCAAGGCTAGGGGGCGAGTGGATGGGGAGCCGGCGGCGCCACTGCTGTTTCACGCGACGATGGCCGACGCTAGACGACTACGAGCACATGAGGCGATGACGGGATCAACTCCTTGCTAGCCTCCCTCACCGTCGCGCCCTCCCTCCCTTGCCGTCGATGGTGCACACCGGCTCCGTCGCCCTCCTTGTCGAGTTGCGCCGATGGCCGACGTTGAAGAAGGAAGGCGACAGCGGCCAGCAGAGGTGGCGGCGGCTGGCAGGGGAGGCGATGGCCGGCAGGGCCAGCAAACAGCAGCGAGCCACCGAGCCGGCGGGCAGCAATGAACGACGACGGATACGAGAGAGAGAACTGTGAAGAAAAGCAGATGTAGCGCCCGTTCCGTCGTGGCGCCTAGCGGGAAAACTATCTCTTAAAAACCCTATTTGCGAAAGCTGTTTCTTTGCTTGTGGTCTAGTGTCCGTGCCATCTCAGATCTCAAATCCCCGATCTATCATCGAATTCAATCCCGAATCCAAATCCTTCCAAATTAATCCCTCCGCAAAAGTCTATTTCGCCTCCCCCGGGTTCGATGGGCCGAATCCCTCTCGGCCCATCTCCCTTCCCGTCTCTCTCTCTCTCTCTCCCTCGCTCTGCCCGCGCGTGCCCGAACCACGCCGAGCGCCTCCTCCCTCCCGTCGCTCCCCCCCTCCCCGCCTCCATCCCTGGCGAGCACCCCGCCCGCGAAATCGGCCCCCGCGCGCCGTTGTTCGCGCGCGCGCGCCCGCGTGGTCGCCGCCCGTGCCGCGCCTGCGCCGTCTGCGTCATCCGGCCCCGCTGCCCTGCCGCGCCTGCAGCCGCGCAGCCGCTCAGCCCCGCGAGCCAGCACGCGTGCCCGAGCCGCGCCGCTCAAATCGCCGCGCCGCCCGTTGCTTCCCGCGCGCGCACGCCGTGGTGGCCGACCGCCTGGTCGCTGCCGCCGTCAGCGCCTGCCGCGCCTGTCGCCCGTGTCGCCGCTTCGCTCCACACCGCCCCCGCCGTCATCGCCGTCGTCATCGCCCGGCCCCCGCCACTCCACGCGCTAGTCTCCAAGGGACGGAGGCAGAGCTCCTCCTCCCTCTACCGTGTCGCCCCCGCTCCCCTCCTCCTTTTCCCAAAGAGGCAAGGGGCAAGCCCCCTTTCTCTCCCTCCTTTTCCCCTTTTCCTCCCGCCGGCGTCATCCTCCCTCCGCCCTGTCGCCGATTTGGCCGCTAGCCGGAGCGCCAGCTCGCTGGCTTGACCGTCCAAAGTCGGTTCCCCTCTCCCAAACCGACATTGCCATCCTATAAAGCCCAGGCGCCCTCCCTCTCTTCTCCTCTCGTTGTCCCATCGCCTCCACTCCATTGTCGCCGCCTCCCGTGCTCTGTTCACCGTCGCCGTTTGTCGTCGCGCGTGTCGGAGGAGCCAACACGAGCGATGACGCGGAAGGGGACTCCGGGCGCGCCCTCATCTTCCTCTTCCTCGGCCCGAGGCCGAAACGATCACGTTTCGCACCGTCGGCTCTCGTCACTGCGCCCGCCCGCACGGTAGCGCAACTCCCCGTTCTCCCTCTTCGCTCCATCTCCTCCCCTTAGACTCGGGTAGTAGCATTAGTAGCCTCCCCGTAGCTAGCTGGCGCCGCCTCGACGGCTGCCGTCGCTCGTCGTGTGCTCGCCACCGTCGCCGCCCGAGCTCGGAAGCGCCGCTCGTCGCCGGCCTCGCTCGGCGCCGCTCCGCCCAATCCAACGCTAGCATCGGACTCCCATAGCCGCGTAGATGCTCTCGCCGCCGGGAATCGGCCCCTCGTGACCTCGTCACCGTTTCCCCCTTCTTCCGCCGCCGGTTGCCGCCGCCGCAATCCGCCGCCGTCGAGCATCCCCCGGCAAATCCGAGCCGTTTGGTCGACTCCCCTCGTCCCGCGCAACTTCCCGGTGTACTCGCTTTCGCCTAGATCGCCGTGTTTCGCTCCGCCGCTCGCCACCGCCGTCCGCCGTCCGTTCCGGCCGGCGTCTTCTTCAACCTCCCACCGGCCCGCGTGGCTGCCACGTAGGCGCCACGTCGGCGCCAGCTCGGCCAAGACCGGGTCGAGCCGACCCCGGTCAGCCGCTCCCTCCGGCCCCGCTCGCGGGCGCGGTCCACCGCGAGCCGTGAGGCTGCGTGTGGGCCCGCCGCATCCGCGTCCACCGCGAACCACGCGCATGCACCGCGCCCCGCTCCACACCCTAGCGCCGCGCCGCGTGCTCCCTCCGCACGGTGAGCCGAGCCGCTGACAAGCAGGTCCCACCCCGGACCACGCAAGATGGACTCGGTCCACCGGCGGCCTCTCTCTCCCCTCCCCGCGCCCTATTGGGCCGTGTCCTCTTGGGCCGGCCGGCCCATTTAACTCGGCCGAGCCGCCCCTTTTCTCTCGGGCCGCGCCCTAGCCGCCCGAGGGAAGTCTACTTCCCCTCCCTCTTCCTTTTCTTTTTCCAAAAGGGTTTAATTAAATCCTTTTTCCTTTAGACCAAAAATCCAATAATCTTAGAAATTCAATATCTTCCCAACTGTAAATCCGTTTGACTCCGTTCAACTTCCAAAATTCCTCAAATCTCGAGATCTATCTAATGGCACGCTTAGAGGTCATTAATAGGGCTTTATTTTCGCCGTTTGTTGAGTTGTCCCGTTTTGCGTGTAGTTTCGGAGCCCGAAGACCGGCAGTGCGAGGATTTCGAGGATCAAGCTCAAGATCTTGAGCAAGGCAAGCCACCTTTGAACATCTTGAGCCTATATTTGAACTTAATTATGTTGCTTGAAAAATATTATGCATTGATAGGATTGCACTTAGTCTGTTTGTCCCGTCTGCAAGGCAGATTGGCGGACCTACCTAATTTGTTGCATTTGATCCTTCCATTGTTAATTGTTATATCATGTTCCCTTGTAACCACCTAGTTGCGCCTCGATATTCGTGCACTCTATGCGAGTATCGACGGTCGCCTTCAAACTTAAAATCTGAGTAACTTCTCGGGTAAAACTTGGGTTTTACAAAAGACTTGGAAAACCCGACACCTGGGTCGGTGCTTGCGAACTAAATGAATTTCAAACACCGCGGACCGGGGAACGTACCGGGTGTACGGTTTCCCGCTCTTGCACTAAGGACCGTTTCCTTGGAATTTCATCCGAACATAAGACAAGTACGACCACATGGGTGGAATGGGACACCCCTGGCTGAGTAACTAGCTTATCGGGGGAGCCTTGATGCCGAGAGACATGTGGATTCGTCGGGGTGGTGTCGGGGAGGACCCCTGGGCTTCCTGGCATAGTATGGTCTGGGACCTAACCTGTTGTTGGTCTGGGACCCCTCTCGTCGGCATATGGTAAACCTGTGTTGTCTTTGGAAATGCCTTGTCATGAAAGCTTGGAGGTCTCCCGACGTGGCTGATCCCCACGGGCTGGGTGATCCGGGTTAGTAATGTCGTGTGGGTAAAGTGTACCCCCTCTGCAGAGGTTAACAAACTGTTCGAACAGCCGTGCCCACGGTCATGGGCAGATGTGAGGTGATTCCTAGCGTAGTTTTGTTTGACTATTGTCTTGTGAAATTGCTGTTGTGGAAAAGGGATCGATGTTTAGAAAATCTGCAGCTGATGAGATCAGCTAGGCCCGGGTGGCCGTTTAAAAGTTGTTGGCCCGGGTGGCCGTTTGAAAGT